GCATGCCTTTTTATAACAGTACAAGACTAGCAATTGGTCTGTGTATGTCATGTTGTGCCCACTTCACAAGCATTTGAGCTTAACTAAAATCTGAGTAGTTATCAACATGAATATAATGGGATACAAGTGTGAAACTGCAAAACTTCTTAGATAAACCTCTACTCAGCTTACTTCTCTGAGTGCTGGCCATAAGTGTGAGTTTTTCCTTCTGCAAAAGGAATACTTTATTACAGTCTGCTGAATGTCACAATAAGGTTATGCTGTGTGGTAAGATATAATGACATTATGCGAAGTGCACTGTCTTCAAAAGTTCTACACTTGCACGAAGTAAAGAAACCTGATTCTAAGCCATATAAAACTTATTTTTGGTATTATCCGGTCTATGTGATTTTCCCAGTTTAATTCATTTTCAGTCTGGAGGCTATATACTTTCAACTTCCTATACAAAGTTATCATAGTATCTTGCATTCATATAAATTATGGATTTGTTATTGATTATAAATGTTATGAAGATTATTTTGTTGGTATTTAAATTGAGTTCCTTTGCTAAATACTATTTGTTCATGACAATAGAAATATTGTTTGTAAAGATTGTTTTCATCAGGTTCAGACATTAAATTCAGCACAAAAAGCAGGATTTGAGATTGCATAGTAGGGGGTCGAAAGTTATTAAAATGAACTAGAAGAAAGATATGACCAAGTATCAGGGCCTATGGGACTGCATGTTGTGCTTAATTCCAATTTGAACGAGCATTATCATGTATCAGATGCACTGCAGCTCTGTGTTCTCTGTCTTCAAGATATGACTCAAACAATTGCCTACATTCCCATCTAACCCAGTGTAAAGTAACTTTGTAACCTCTTATGGCTGACACCATCAAGAGCCTTGACAAAGTCACAGAGCAGTCCTGCAGCATGAATTTTTCTATTCAAGGCCTTCAGTATTTCAAGTGTTTGTTTATGTAGATTTTTCCAAAACAAAACTCTTTGTTAATTAAAATTTTGTTGTAGTTTCAATAATGTATTGCACTTCTGTACATAACCTTTATAATGTTTGTCACCTCCCTTATGTAGGGGCTTTACAATTGATAACTTCTTCCCTCTCTCTTACCACTGAATGTTTAGACATGTAGCTTAATTGTGCACTAACTGAGTCCAAGCAGATTGTCATTATTTTGCTAGATGCTTCATTCTATCTAGACGAATTCCTCCCTTTCGTCAGTTGCATAATCTTATTAATGTCTTGTGCAGTTATCCCACAAAACTGACTTAGGAATGTTTTCGTCAGGTATTTACAATAATGAATTGTCATTATTTCCATCATTTGAAGAAATATTTTAGCAACTATAAAAATTATTTGTGGAAGACACTGCCAGTAATGTGAGAGATTTTAATTTCGGTATTATTTATGCTTATTGAGATAATTTCACATGTAGGTCACATTTTACTAGTTTACAAAGCATCAGTCTCAAAAATATCTGTGTTTTAATAACTCACAATCATACACGTTGACGTAAAGCAATTATTAATTAATTTTCATTGTTATTGATCATGTTATTTTCGAGTATTGATGCTTTTATGATGGGATTTGATAATGCTATGCTCATATGTCCCATTACAGCAGCCTGTAGCCAGCTATGGTGGCTACTTTACTCAAAAGCAGTGCAGTTGGCAAGCTTGCAGTTGTCAGAACTGCCACTTTATGGGAAACTGGAGGTTTAGAGGAACTGTAGTCATTGTTAAAAATCGTCAAAGCCTAAGTTGCCCGTTCTTTCACTAAGGAAATACACACTTACAAGAGGTCATTTGGAAAAGAGCACAGAATGCGTAGTTAGATGAAACTGAAGGCCACGAAATAGCTCAAGCGGTTAGTCCCTGGCTTCCCACCGCGGTTGCCTGGGTTCGATCCCGGGTCTGATAAAGTGGGATTTGTGTTGTGGACAAAGTGGCGCTCGGGTACGTTTTCTCCGAGTACTTCGGTTTCCCCTGCCAATCTTCATTCCACCAATTGCTCCACAATCACCCTCACCTATCATCTGGGGCTGGTACAATAGGCCAGAAGTGGCTGCAGTACAAGGGACTTAGTCCCACCCCACTAGCAATAAAAAAAATATATGAAACCGAATTAAAAATATATTGTGTACACACATATATGTATGTGCGCATATTCCATGATAGAAAGACAAAATTCTGACAGTCCATTGTACTGCTTACAAACCATCTATTTAAAATGATCCATTGAAGAATCATGTGTCAGTTCCCTTTCAGCTGTTTTTGCCTTATATATTTTAAATATCAGGAAGTTAAATTTGAGTCATTGAAGTGGTTGTAAGTTGTAGTATACAGAAAATTTATTGCACATACATTTATCTCATTTGGATTTATTTAACATTTAATTTTCTTGGAAAAGAGCATAAGTTACAATTTGAACCATGACTGATGAGGTGTACTGTTATCAGAATTATGAATAGCAGTGAAGCATAGGTTAAGCAGTCCTCTTTAACCTTGCATATATGTTTTTTAATTTGTTCACTTTCTGTACAGTTTTTCACGCCTCCTGTAAAATTTACTATCTTGGACTTATGTGCTTTTCAAATGACCTCTTCAATTAGGCATAAAAAGTATGCACTAAAATGATAAAGTGTTGGCTGTTTTGATGCCATTCTAGTTTCAATAAATGTGGATCTTCTAGTGCAGAAACCACGCACTGTTATTAGTGTGTACACAAATCAGAAACCATGGATAGATAAAATCAAATGCAGTGGTTAGCAAAGCTGTATACAGATGGAGATTCTTATGTATTAGCAGGTGACCCAAGTATGAGTTACTTTGAAAGCTACTGCCATGCTGTGCACCATGTTCATGCTGTCAACTTCAGAAGTCCATTCATAAAAACATGGCAAAATAAGGCAACATAATACATAACACCACAGCAGCCATAACATCAGTCTGAAAAAACCTCAGCAATGATCCATACCATAACAGATAATAAATTCCACATATCAGCTCACACATATCTGGACACCAATCACATACATAACACACAGCTTATAAGTTTTACATACATATCTACAATGGGAAGAAAACTACCAGAGCTCTGTAACACAGAGAACATACAACAGATGAGAATCACAAATGTAAACCAAGATACAGCACCAAAATACAGCCCTTCATAGAAATATCTAAGGATCATAGCTGTATATGTTTGTATGTGTGTGTGTGTGTGTATGTATATATATATATATAGTACAAGCGTAGAAGCAAACTCATGACATATAAGCACTACATATTACAAACCACATATAGTATACTACAAATTTTATACTAAACACAACTTTCCAAAAACAATTATTTTAATCAGTGGTACCCTCTTAATTTACAATTTAAATTACCTTTGATTATATTTTCTTTTGCAATTTAATTGATGTCACACATTTAACAAACACTGTGTATGTTAGATTTGAGGCTTTCACGGCGGTGACTATGAAGAAAGCAGTCTTCTGGGATTGTCTGCTTTTACCGGTTCTCACGGTCTCTTCGCTTGCGGATTTCGTATATTTTCCTTCTACCCTGAAGATAGAGGCGATACGTTCCTCCGAAACGTCGGTTAACACCACATATACACGGCGCCAAATCCCAGAAGACTGCTTTCTTCAAACACTGTGTACTTTGAAGAATGCTGTTGTACGCAATGTTGTTGTATTTTAACATTCTTTTGCACTGATTCTCATCCATGATATGTATATTGGCCATCTTGTAGTGCACTCAGTCTCGCATATCACTTCACTACATGTTTTGTCATCACTGTGCCATCTTCAGGTGTGTTATTTACGTCAAGCTATTTCATTGCTCGCCATCATGTGTCGTTTATAAAATTATATAAAATTCACACTCTTCACTAACTATAATAAAATTTATATATATCAAAATTTGTTAATGTCCATCATCTTACACAGCTTAACCCAAACTCACATACCACGTCATTCTTCCACTATGGGAGTCATTCTTCCTATATTTTGTGTATATTTTGTCTTGTGATGTGTCCTTCTTTTTTGGCTGCGAGCATTGATTACAATGCCAGGCCAGCATATAGGATCTGACATTATAAACATTGACCAATACATAGATTTAGCAAGTAATGTATAAATGCCTGAAGAGGGCCTTTATGACTGAAATATGTAAACGATCATAAAATACATAATTTGTGTTGTGTCTACAGATGCAATTAATACCTGTAATTATGTATGTAAGAACCTTCTAATGTTAGATATTTGGTTTTGTTCTTACAAATAATATCCTACAGTTGGTGGCATCAACATGGGAGACAGTGCGATGGTTAAGTTTTAAGGTTTTCTGGAACACCTATTAATACATAAGTACCCAAATGTAGCTGTGGTTGGCAAGGTATTCCTGTACTGCCAACATTGATTGTTTCTTGTATTTAAGTGTATCTTCAAGTTGGAACTGTGATTTAAGGTTTATTTTTAATAAAAAATACCCTTGAAAATTATATAAATTGTTCATACAATGTAAAGTGGAGTTACCACTTGACAGGATACTTACATTATTTACATTCTTGACCATTTTTGTTGCTCCCTTTGTTTCCATTGTCCATAATTTTTACTGAAAACTGTCAAATTTGGCTAACACTAATGCAGTTAATTTTAGCTGTTTATGAACCCCATTTTTGTACAGTATTATTATTTTTATTTTCATTAAAAGTTAAATAAAGAATATCCATATTAAATGTCATTAATACGGAATTTGCAAAAGTTGGGTAGTGTCTTTACTTGTGAACTGGAGGCAGGAAAGAGGCATGTGATAAGAATGTGTAGAAAAATGAGACTGTTTAATTTCAGTAATCAATGCATTCAGTGTATTGCCGTTTCTCGAACTAAATTCCTTTTGTCAGAAGAAGGATACAGAACTTCCTGGCTGAACTACAACAGCAGTAAAGAAAGAAGTCTAGGCTTGTGTTGCTTTCTTAATTTAACTTACAGAACTGAACAGTCTGTCAGAAAACAATGGACCGTGTGCTGACTATAAACCTGGGGAAGACGATCTCCAGGCATTTGATTTCATACGCAAGTTTCGATTGGATGTCCTAGAGACTCAGTATCCAGGAGTCACAAGAGTCAGAGGATCAAACCGAATGCAGACAGCTTATCGACTAGACAGAGATGCTGACCTTACACTACCAACAAGGTAAATGTGGTGTTATATATTCCTCATAATGCAGTATATTAACTTTGCTAAAGAAAATACAATCAGGCTGAAAAATAACTACCATGAGAAGTTGTGACTTTATAGAATTTTTTCACTGTCCTGTTGGATAACTCTTAGAAATATGCAGCATGTAAGCTGTCAGTTTGTAATATCAAATTAACTATGGGACAATCTAGTTCATAAGAAAGCAGTCTTCTGAGATGTGGGGCAGTGTAGATATTGTGTTAACCTGCATTTCGGAGGAACATATCGCCTCCATCTTCAGGGTAGAAGAAAAAAAGAGAAGAAATCCGCGAGCGGAGAACCAGCATGAGCAGGTGCTAACAGACTTAAGTCCAGTGAGTAAACCCAGCTGCATAAGAGAAGGGATAAGGGCTGCATGGGAAATCAGTAGAGAGGAGAAGGGAAGGGTCTGGGGAGGTGGGCCAGCAGGTAGCAGGCCAGAGCAGGTATAGAGTATGGCATGGGGGTGGGAGAAAGGCCGTCCAATTAACCTTGCCTTTCTCCCCCCCCCCCCNCCACCTCATATCCAAGACATGTTTCCTCATTATTTATTTCCTCATACAACATTAGGATTTATAAAAGTAATTTTTCTTGTCATCAGTTTCAAAGTAGTTTTAGTATTAATTTCTGTATAATGACACTGTAGTGTAAGCAGCCATATCTGCAAATTAAAACATATGTCTAGATATTGATGCAGAATTTGCAAAGTAAAAACTGATACTGTAAAATTTTCATAATAACTGAACCACATAGGCTCTGAAATAGGATCATCCATTTAGTCATATTTATTTTAAAAGTTTGCCAACAGCCCGCAGGCCTTTCAATTTGTGATTGCAGGGATGTCTTCCCCTTGGGCCTGCCTGAAGAGTTCTCATTCATCTCAACATTCCGGACTCGAAAATTAGCAAAGAGTCCATGGCATATCATTAGAATATCTGACATTCAGAACAAAGCCCAGTTCCTCATCACACTGAATCCAAGGAAGGAAACAATCGAATTTTCCATAACGGATTTTGAAGGGAGACTCCAGACAGTGGTCTTCAGTCAGGCACCAGTAAGATGCAATAACATCCACCACACAACTAATAAATTTTATGCTGTTAATACAGATCACATAATTAATTTAATGTGCAATGAATGCTGAAAATTATAAGAAAATTAATTAGTTTTGTTTGAATTTTAAACCTCTCACTGGATTGGAATGTATGTTTCCAAATGTCACACTAGTGTAACTGAGAGATCTGTTTTGAACATATGATATACCTTAAAATGTTATTTAAATTATCTTCTCTTAGTTTAATTTTTGCAGATTTCATTTGACAATAGACTTAAATATAATTTTTTTAAAGTTGGATTGAGACCAACTGAAAACTTGAAAAAGTTAATATTCCTACCTTTGAGTATTTTACAGTTTATGTTCAAACTATCTATATACATAGTGTAATCTGTGTGTGGCATGCAGAAGCATAGTTTGTTGAGGCACTGTGCTACAATCTGGAAGATCGTAGATTCAGTTCCTGACGGGGTTCTTGGATTTTTCAATTGACCTAATCCTTTCAATAGCACTGTGGTCCCAGGGTCGACTCAGCCTCTAACAGAAACAAATACCATGAATCTTCCTAGGGGGTAAAAGGCAGCCAACACATAAGGCTGACAACCTCACCACCATCTGTGAGCCGATTGTCTAGAAAATGTGGGAACCTCGATGTCTCACAGCCCTATGGGCCTGCACAGCTGGTTACAGGGCTATCTCTCCCCCCCCCCTACTGTTATCTGTCTACCTAAGCATAAGTACATTTTTAAAACTTGTCCAAGAAGAGCGCAGTCTCCCAAGAAACAAATAATAAAGTAACTACTCTTATTCATAAAAAGATTTATCATATTTTGTTTGCAAATCAAGGTAACATACACTAAATACGTTGGTTCTGTAATTTTCATTCATTTACATATAAGCACACAATATGCTTCACCTGTAGCCATAGTTCCTCAGGGTCTGTACACATCAACTGCTGTTGACATATCATTCAGTCCCTGTAAGTACATGAAGTCTAGTTATGACAGTCATCTCAATGAAAAGTCCAGAATGCAATTACTTAAACTAAATTTTTGGAAAGAAACTGCACTTTTTCTCATACACAATTGACCTTGTCTATGTTACATTGAAAATGAACTTGATTGTTGCTTGGAACATCATTGTTGGTTACTGAATGCAGAACAAGAATGAAACCCTGACTGGTAAAGCTAGGTTTGAAAAAACTGTGCATGTATTCTTATTTACCTGAAGACACTGTCAATGCATTTTATTTAAGGAGATGGTCCCCATAAATCACTGGCATATAATCAAATTTTTAGAGCCATTTTTGAGAAAATTGTCATTTTATTTTTAAGCCTCTGTTTTTGGAGCTGCAATGTTCATGTTCACTAGGCATTGACCTATGATGATTAACTCTTGAATGCCAGACATGAATAGTATCCATCCCATCATTCAGACACAAACGAGGCACTCATCCATGCATCTGTATAGACAGACAGTATTCCAGAAACCATTAAAATAGTAAATACATAAAAAATCTCTGGATCAGAATTTTTCACTAAAACAGTACTTCCTCACAGTTGCCATACACACACATGCCTGTGCATGCAGTCAAGGGACAGATACAAGATGATACCTAAATAAGGAACTCTTTTGCTGAATGTAACATATAAATTGTGACATGAACTTTATAACAGTTTGAATGTTAGAATTTTTTGTGATTTTTTTAAGTGTGGTAGGGAAATACTGGATTATCTGGCTTTCAAATTGTATATGTTTTATTAAACTAATATTGGGCTATATTTATATAGCAATAAAAATATCCCTGTAATGCTACTACTTGTAAATAATAATTTTCTTCATATGTTACCGTTTTGTAATGCAAGGTATGAAATGCAAATGGTAAAAGCAAATGCGTTGTCTCTGTGCTACACATATTATGTACAAATGATCACTTTTTCATGTGTGAGCAGTGAAGGAGCAGTGCAGCCTTTCTGTTATCAGTGATCCAGTAAAGGGGTGATCCTCTCCTGCATGTCTTCTGTAATGACTGACATTCTCACTGTCTTGTGTATTGCTTGGTACACTCAATCTATTCCAATGTACTTTGGGTAGGTATTTGACAAGAACTGGCACAAGCTGCACTTCGGGGTGCACAGAGACCAAGTGGTGCTGTATGTAGACTGTGAACATACGACAACAGAGAGGCTGGAACCACGTGGCCCTATTGATGTTAACGGCGACATAACTATCTCCAAACTTGCTGGAAGTCGTAATACTGTGCCTGTATGTATCAGGTTTTACGTTCAATAAAATTGTACAGAGGAGGTGAGAGAACATGAAACTGTCTAGTACACACAAAACTGGAAGCTTTTAGATGTAATTAACTAAAAGTATAGAATTATATTTTAACTTTAATTAGTTCAACATAACTATTTACATAACATTTCGAAAAAAAACATGTATATTTGTGTATATAAAGTCACTAATACAAGGTCAGACAATTAAGTTCCAGGACTGCATAAATTTTAAGAAAATCACATTTAAAATCAAACATATTTTCTAATGTAAGATTTGAGGCTTTCACGACAGTGACTATGAAGAAAGCAGTCTTCTGGGATTTGGCACCGTGTATATGTGGTGTTAACCGACGTTCCTCCGAAACGTCAGTTAACACCACATATACACGGTGCCAAATCCCAGAAGACTGCTTTCTTCATATTTTCTAATATTTTTCAAAATAATCTCCTTGAGATGTCACACATATTTGTGCTCGCAGATGCAACTGTTGGAAGCACCTTTTGAATTCTTTGAACCAAACAAGACAGTCCTTCCACATAATATTCCTAGTGCACCATATGACCTGGTGTAACAAATTCTTTGTGAATGATTCCCTGACTGTTGAAGAATGTGACCAACATCACACTTTTTTTTTTAATTCACAATTTGTTGTGCCTTGGAGAGTTTGATGAGCACCACTCCATGCTTTGTCGTTTGTCTGGCAATCATACTGGAAACACCAAGTTTCATCACCTCTTACATTTGAGTCAAAAAATGAATGATCATCATCCATAGATTAAATACATTCTTGACAAGCTTGCAGTCTGAACATTCTCTTCAGAGATCAAATAGTGTGGAACAAACCTAGTGCAGATCTTCTGACTGCGATTTTGTGAATTGCTTCTCTGTTAATTTTGAGTTCCATCCTTCAGAGAGTCATTTGATAATCAGTTGAAATCAATTCCCGAACTGTCAGGTGTTCAAATGGCTGCTGGTCATCCATTGTGTTCATCATTTTCTCAATTTTCACGGTCGTCCCAAATTCTTGCACACCATTCAAAAACTCATGTAAGAGAGCGAGAGAGTATTGTGACCATAAGCCAGTTTTATCGTCTGCAAAGTTTCAGTAGCTGTTTTGTCGATCTTGAAACAGAATTTAATGTGTGCTCTTTGCCCCATCACTACAAACTGTCACAACAATCTGCATGGTACAAAAACCTAAACACAACTGAGAATGAACCAGAAGACAGAAGTGACTGACATTGTACAGGGAACAAAGTGGAGGATTCAGCTTACACAGCCAAGTTGAAACATCTTCCTACTTGCATCTAAATGCGAGTAATGGACTTAGTCCCAGGATTTATTTGTCAGACATTGTTTTGATGAGTTCTGTCTTCCAGGATACAACGCAAAGTCTCCAATCTGCTTGCTACTTGCTCCATGCTGGTTTCATTCTTTGCTTGTTCTTCGGCCTTGAAGACAAATGCAACAAGTTCCCCTGCATTGTCATCTGACTTTCAACAGACTACACAGTGTTATATCCCAGAAGATAGAACTCTTCATAACCACAACTGTGAGAATTTCAAATCCTGCTAATATTGATAATTCCAAAACTACAACATATCATTAACCCCACCACCAGAAAACCTTCTGTGTGTATGTGTGCTTGTGTGTGTGCATGTATGGATTAGACTTAAAATAATACTGCCACATGATAAATCTGTAATTATGCACCTCTACATATATATGTCTTCTAGTGACACTTGGGTGGTGGCAAGCAACATTTTATAATGGTTGAGAGCTGAAGCTATCAACACAACATTGAAGCCTATGAAAATGGGTAAAAATTGCAAGACAGTCACACCGAAAGCAGGAATAAAGGATTTTATCCTGGGCAAACCTAGCTGTGTACATATTTAAACATAGCCCACATTAGGCTAGTGACAGGAAATGACTAAGAAATGGTATTATAAGTTAACTTTTGCAGATTGGCCTACTTACCATAAATGGAACCTCTTAACCTATACATACTCCACTCCTTTCTGATAATTATAACATTTATTAACTTTTTCTGACCAATTGCACTATGTAATCCGCTCTTTATGTATTGCACTGCACAAAACTAACCTGGGTTTTGTCTCTGTTTTACAGGTCTCACAACTTGTAAGTACCATCTAACATATTATTAATTCAGCCTAATAACACAATATAACAAATTAATTGGCACTTTGAAGTTACCTTAAGTTTATGAACTGTAATTATAATTTCTTAGAGCAATTGAAGCAGCTGGGAAGGGGAACATGTTGAATGTCTGAAACATGGACATGTTTCCTTTTCCATCTCACCAATTCATTTGTAATTTAGTTGCTCCTAGAATGAATGATTATCTCAGATGCATGTCAGCAAGTAAATATGTGGTATTTGAATCTCATCAGTGACAAAATCACTCTCTGCTTAACTAAACTAGATACAAAGTTTACTGGTTACAAATTTTATGTCACACTAATACATAAATATTATGTGAAAATAGGCTTATCGTGTCAAGTAGACATGGCTGTATATGTGTGTTCAAAGAGCTGTATAGTATTGTTAGCTTCGATTTATGTATGAATATGTACCTATCTGGAAGTAGGAAGAATAAGAGTGATTTCATGTATTTGGATTATAAATAAATTTTATGAGAGGCAGATATTACAAACAGTAATAGCATTACATTTTTTCTAATGGACTTATATTTCGAATGTCTTTTTTAAAAAAAAAGTAAATACTTACTTACATGAGTATAAGTCTGAAGCAGTTATTTTGTAGCATATGTAAAACTTTAAGTAATAAATAACAGTACAGTAAATTACATAAATTTTGGTTTACTCTTACATACATCACGTAATTTTACAATAACTGCAAAATAGCTGAAATAATCTGCTTTTGAACATTGTGACAAAATAGTTTGTAGTTTGATCTCAACACAGTTATTGCAGACAGAAGTTCCAGGTTCCACTAAATGCACTGCTTGATATTGGTATGATTTCAGATTGACCTCCAGTGGATGGTGCTGAGTTGTGACCCAACACGCCCGGAAAGGGAAAGCTGTGATGAACTGCCTGTGAGTTTGTACAATACAGAAATACAAAAGGCTGATTGTTTCCTAATATTGTTGGTTTCAATCTTATTCTGATTTGTCATTTTTATACTCCATTATAAATAATGAAAGATTGTCAGAGCAATGAAACTAATATTTTTATTGTTCCTCTGTGTAGGAATGGTGTTTAAATTAAATGTGATACTGTGACCCCACCTGGTTTAGGCACTATGCTACAAGCTGGAAGGTCGCAGGTTCAAGTCCCAATGAGTTCATTAGATTTTTTTCAATTTACCTAATCCTTTCAGCCGCACTATCGCCCTGAGGTCGACTCAGCCTCTAACAGAAATGAGTACCAGGAATATTCTTGGAGGTAAAGGGTGGCTGGCACATAGGGCTGACACCCTTGCCACCATCGATGAGCTGATTGTCTAGAAAATGTGGGATCCTCAACATCTCACAACCCCGTGGACCTCCACGACCTGTTACAGGGGTATTATGACTTTTACTTTTACTGTGAAATCACCAATTTAAGGTGTAATTGGGGTTCAGTTCATTTGACCACAAAATCTGTATTATCTTGCATATTAGGATGGTGGTTGACATTGAATCTCGTGGTCTAGTGGGTAGCATATTGATGTAATATTCAAAGGTTTCAGGTTCAATCAAAGCTATCAAAAGTGAGTAACAAAAATAAAAAATAATAAAATATGTCAATATAAATGACAAATAATGACCTGAAGATGGAAATAAAGCCATTGCTGAGATAATGTGTACATGTATATGAAACATACCTCAGACCATGGACATTGTCCAATGTACTATTGTGCAATGAAAGAACAAGTGTAACAAACCTTTAAGAATTTACAAGCTGAATACTCATTCTGTGTGAATAATGTATGAATTTACCATTTTATTTGACTGATGATAAGCAAATACCTTTTTTGTCCTTAATTTTCTTGTTATTGCAATGTTGACATATTTTAAACTTCTTCACAACTACTGATCCTTCCAGTCCCTTTCAAATTCTACTCTCACTACATTACAAATTATTTCTTCCGGTAACTGGTTTCAATCTTTCAAAGGTGAGCTCTTTGTTTTCATCATCTATGGTCTTTGATTCTTTCTATATTTCCATACTAACATATTTTAGTGTATGTCCTATACATAACACTTCCATTTAAATCTGTTCTTTTTAACCATTTATTCATGAGCTTCTATGAACTTAGATTCAGAATCTTATTACATTAGAAAATCCTCTAATTTGCAGATTTTGTGTTTTTGGAATCTTGATATAAATGTAACAACCCATGTATGTTGAAGTGTTTGCTTGCTCTAATATTATATTATCAATTACAGTATTACATATTATTGAATAGATTCTTACAAAACAGATGCTTTGGTTTTGTGTCAAATATTAATGGTGAATTTTTATGCTCTTATGTATATGGCATATTATCCTCCATAAATTATGACCTCAGTCATTGATAATAGTTTAGTGATTTGCAAAAAGTATATTATTGAGCTTCATATCCTTTGATACTTTAATTCAAATGGTATTTCATTTTGTACCTGAGCTTGAGAATTTAATATATACTCTGTATACTGAGCAAAGTTGTTGAAAGAGAGCAGCCTCATCTGACTCCTTCATTTATGCATTTTTCATCTGTGTTATTATTTACTTAGATTTTTATCCTGTTATTTCTCTTAATTTCCAACATATTCTTCAGTATTATATCTGATATATGAGCACACTTCTCTTCTGTTATTTTAAGAAGTATATTTCATTCACTAATACATTAATTAATTGGAAGTGTTTCAAATATTCCAGAGAAGCAGACCATTACCAGCTACTCCATCTTGTGAGGTGATATGTCCCCAAGGACCACCTGGCTTTAATGGTACTGATGTAAGTAGCTTATCCAAAATCTTTCTATATGAAAAATGCAGTTGTGAAAAGGTTTTCAGCTAAAAGATAGGCCTCTGGACCAGTAACACTGCAGATGGCTGTGCGTTACAGAGACAGTAATTTATGATTTTGTAATGAAAATGCATTTCATCCTAATTATACATGATATGTATTGCAGTAAGCAGTGCTTTCTCTTCCACAGTCATGATTGCCAGTGCTGCCATACTCTGCCTCAGCCTCAAAGTTGAAACTGAGCCATGCAACTTTTTACATTTCACAAATTTGCCAGTATGCATCAGTTATTTGCTCTATGCAGACCAGCCGAGAAAACCCGTGGCAATAATGGAATTCAGTGGTTAATGTGTCTATAATGTGTACTACTGATAATGACCTGTTGTCTCCAAAATCTTGTATTTAACTTCATTATGATGACAGCAAATGGTTAATAAAATTGTTCACCTGTAGACAGGATTTGTAACAATGCCATAGTGCCTGGTATAAGACAGCATCTGTAACGGAACATTTCAGTTCCTGGAATGTGCCACGGTATGTTTATATTCTGTAAAGTGATTCAGTTCAGTTCAGTTCAATTTATTTCAAATTCAGATCTCATTCAGGGTAGATGATATGCACCTAGCCTTTAAGACATAAAGAGTAAAAGTGCTATCGTTGCTGTAAAAAAAATTGTTAAGTTTTGGAAGGGGTCCTAAATATTGAAACTGTTCTTTTCACACTATTTTTCAAATATTATTTTTTCATACATCTGGTAATGTAGAGGTTTTGATTTGTAACCATTGTTCCTCCCATTTTTCCCCTTCACACAGAAGAAATAAGTACAGTACATTATTTTCTTAAGCATATCAGAAGTCACGAGTACTTCCTTTCAGCTGGTTTCCACACTAGGACACAACTGATAAATATTGACAAGTTTATGAAGGGTCAAAAGACACTGGTAGTGTTTTTAGAAAAAAGTACTGATCATAAGTATAACAAATATTTTAGACAGGAGAATATGGCTTCAGATATGATGAAGTGTATGATGAAGATGATGATGAAGAGACTGTACCTGGCCATTTTGAACACTGACTTCCATCTCACCATATGAAAATATCTACTGCAGTGTTACCACACATGGCTGACTTAGTATGCATGTATGAATCTGAAAATATTATCTAAGAAAAAGGTTCTGTAGGCATGAGATTTATTATTGTCATTACATAATTTCAGGTTACCCTACCAACAGATTCTTGAGTGTTGTATTGTATTGTATTGTATTTATATTTGTTCAAGAAATCCAAAAAAGGATATAGAACATGTCACAGAACTAAATATAAAACAGGATACATGCATAAATTACACGAAATTTAACATTAACATTATGCATGAATATAGGTTGTGTAGCAGGTCACACATAAGAGAGAAGTCATTTGTTTCATTAATTTTCAAATATATCCTATACATGTCAGCACTGATGTTAAAATATATAAGCTGTTTTCAGTGCCCAATTCATATGCTTAGTATATTGAGTTTACTGGAATTTTACTGAGACTGCTTACATGTGTTTCTACCCAGAAAGGAGGCTGGTCAAATTATTGTATTTTAAATGTCTTGTGTTTTTTGTATGGTGATACTATTTGATTGTGAAAGGGTACCTATGGACCACCAGGGCCTCCAGGTGAGCCTGGTCCCCAAGGTGTACCAGGAATCAGAGGGCAGAGAGGCGCACGTGGTGAAATAGGACAGTCTGGACTACCAGTATGTCATGTGAACATCGTGCACAGCAAAATCATGTCATTTTGGCTAACAAATTTTGTAGTTTGTTGTATTGTTAATAAAAGGTCTTTTGTTAGCATGTTGACAGTGTGATTGTTAAACCTGAGAAATTTTGAGTGGTTTGAAAGAAATTAGTTGATTAAAATGGAATTAAATTCTATAGTGAAAAGCAATGTGTTGTTATTCAAGGCTGAGGTAACTTAAAAAGTTAATCTGTTTAGCAGGACTTAACCATTCTGATTAAGAATGAGCTACACCACAAGTCTGATTCTGGAGCTCGTTTTCCAATTGCTCATAACCACTGGCCACACGATACAGTTCTTATGCTTGTAATAGACTGTGACTTTGAGAATAGGATATCAGGATGTAGGCTTCATTTTGGCATCATTGTTTTGCTCTTTTATTTCCTCATTATAGACAGTTACATAATGCTGTAATTGCGAAGATGTTTAAAAGAGTTTCCTCTTTTCTGTATTTGGCTTGAATTTCAGCTTCTACTTAATCACATCCTGAAACTATCTGGACTGCAAACAATAAATTTTCAGTTATCTGGTATCCAAGGATCTTGAATCCTCATTCAACTGGAAAAAATTTGAAGGAAAAATTATCATCTGTATAAAGCTAGTCAAAAATAAATTTGTAAAGTGCATATATTCACCAACCACACAGGTAGATACTGGCTGGGTGGTCAGGGTTCAAATTGCAGCAAGGGCAATATTTTTTCTCTTCTGCACAGCATCCAAACCAGATCTGAGACCTACCCAGTCTCCTATCCAGTGAGTACGAGTGCTTCTTTACCTAGGGGTAAAGTAGTATGGACGTGAAGCTGACCACTCACTTCCATCTAGTTCTGAGGTCAAGAATGGTGGAGCTATACCTCTGCTCCCCCATACATCTTCATTGCATGGTGCTTAATTAATTAAGCACAAGGGCAACATTACCTTTACCACACAGTAGTTCTTCTAATTACCACTAGCAGTACTACCAATTGTCCTCCCTCATGCAGGTGGCATTACAGTAGAAGTTAGTTGACATTAAGAACGTATTATAGTACAGAAGCTCCCCAACTTACACAGTCATTCTATTCTGTAAGGTCTTGCATAATCGAAATTTGTCATAAATCAAAATCATCACTGTAATACAAGTACATTTGTGGGTGTGTGTGCTTTAAGGGGGGGGGGGGAAAAAAAAATTGAAAGCATGGAGAAAATTCGTTGGGTGGATAGAAAACAAACATAGTAAGCTTGTGGTAGTGAAACTTAGACTTGATCTGTTAGAGTTTTGCAGCAAAGCATTGTCACATGTTTGGTGACTGTGAACCACTCAAAGTTTGAATGTGCAGTTTCTTGTAGATATATTTGTCTTCCTTTTACTTGTAACTCAGGCCTGGAGCTCAACACAGACTGTCAAGTCAAGGCAGCAGAGGTTCTCATAATAGCATGGTGGCAGTGTGCTTCTGGAAACAAGCTCTCAAAACATATCATATTTCCATATAACATCTGATTTCATTTAATATAATTTCATTTAGAAAAGCTGGTCAATCTTCTTAACTATAAATGTCTCTGTTTTGACATGGCTTCAAAAATCATCTGCTTTAATATCAGGTCCCAGAAGATAGAACTCTTCGTATACCGAATAAACTGAAATCATTGAGAACAGAGTAAATATGAGATATATCTGTGACAGATGAAGAGTTTTAATGTGCTATAGGAGCACTCAAAGCTCTAGAAGTTTGTTTAATATGCAAAGCTAGAACAAATCTGTCAGTTTCTAACAGCAACTCCAAATCAGCAACTCTTACTTAAGATTTACTTCATTCAGACGTGAACTTTTTATGAATATCTAGGTTCCACCAATAAATTTCCTCTTACAATCTAAGACGAAACATCAGAAAATGTTAACTTTTTCACTTCAGTGTTCTTAATTTTGTAAGAATTAGAAGTGCTTTGTATAACTGGAAAAATGATATGACCTACTCACCAATTTTGAGAGCTTATCTAGATGAAATTTGAGAGTTTAATTTATTTAAGTCTAGTTAATTCTGACATTCAAGTGGGAGTGGAATTTGACATGATGATTCTGAGCTGTGGTATCATAATTTTGCCTCTTCACTACTGTCTTATTTTCTTCTTGTCTTGAATAGGGTTTGCCGGGTTTGATTGGACCCCTCGGACCTATCGGCGAGCCGGGAATACCGGGTTTTCCCGGCCAGAAGGGAGCTACTGGACCTCCCGGCCGCCCTGTAGGTTACCAACCCCACTAACAGCCCGCCGGTAACTCACCCCATTACACAGGACACATCACTGCACACTGAATTTACATTCATACAGCATCAAGGCACATATACTGTAGTTATAAATTTGTCTGCTTTAGTTAGGAAAATGAAATGTCCAATATTAACCAAATTGTAATGGAAGCTAGAAAAATGTTTACATAACTAGAAGCAATTAAATTCTCTAAAGGGAAAGGAACATTCTCAAAAGCATGATTTAAAGAATTTATTGATATTATGTACTGTAATAACCACACTAAAAACCTCAAATATCATGTAACATAATAGGTTTATAATGAACTGCATCTAACAAGGAAAAGGTTTAAAATTGCCTTCAAAGTAATCACAAATTATCTTGATCAGAGTAGAAAGTAATAACACAGTACACTAGATTTCTACATCATTTGCTACAATAATAACTATGTTTAAGTTCTAGGATTAGTGGGGGTATTCTTTAACTATGCAAAATATACTGAGTTCAGTTTTGTCCAAAAGAAATATTACAGTTATGAAATGTCTTAACTCTGTAGTGTGTAAATGTTAAAGATCTATGTTCAATCGCAATTTATAATTATATATATATATATATATATATGTATTAAGGGGCATGTGGTAGTGTAGTTGGTTGAGGCACTATGCTACNGCCTGTTACAGGGATCGCTTTTATATATATATATATATATATTATGAAGTAGCTGAATTAGAGCTTTAGCAGATGCACCCTCTTAATACTCGTTTTGAATAGCCTTTGTTAAATTAAATTCCATATATGTTAAATTAATTGAAGTACACTGTACAGTAACATATTGAAGTGCTCTAGTTCCTGTGTAACAAAGATAACATAGCAGTGCTGGTCACAAGGTGACATGCAGACACTCATCATACACAGGATTTAATTTAACAAGTGTAGAAACCTGTGGACCATAGTTGTTTCAATGCGTAATAGATTTGATGGAGCTAACATGCAATGCAAATTTTAATATATACTTTTTTGAAAATTATGTACTAAAACAAATATAACTTTATAATGAGTATACCTGATAAAGGCACTACCAATTAATGCATATTGCATACAAAATAAAGTATCTATATCATTCAAGCCTGAAGTACATTGTAATTACAGATATCTAACAGTTAACACAACATAAGTAATTTTAGACCTGTGTCTATATACAGGGCACACCAGGCCCGCAAGGATTACCAGGACCTAGAGGTCTGACAGGAACTTCAGGGGTCAGTGGGCCCCCTGGGGTTATGGGACCGCCTGGTGCTAAAGGAGATCGGGTAAGTCTGTCTCATAATGTCAGATTACCTTATGAGATTCCACATAATAGAAAAGAAGTATCTATCAAGATATTGTGTGATCAGCTGAGTGATTTCTTTGTTTTGTTCCATCACCACAATAAGAAATATGGATACACCATATATTCGTCGTTTTTTATGTGTTACAGCTCATTGAGAAATCTTCAGCTATTTGACTTCTTTGCATTCTAGTATTCCTACATTGGCAAGTGTTTACATACTGAATTTTAAATAAAGATTAAATATTAATAATTAAAATGTAAAATCGTTAAAATTAAAAATTAAGTGTTCAGAAGTTGTTTTGTTATGTTTTTATTTTGGTGTAGTAGTTGTGTGTAGCTCTTCTGCTGGTGTATTTCTTTGGTTTTCTTCCCTGCCTTGTAATGACGTGTGTTGGCTTGTGGGCATATGTTTCCGTTTTTCTCCTTATTTCTGTTCCTTGCATTTTGGAGAAATGTATCTTGTATGTGGTGGTTGTGATGGAACAAAACAAAGAAATTTCAAACATAATATGAAGCTAAAATATAATATTTGAGGCTAAGGGAAGAACATGCACTGCAGATGTCTGATGACGCAGTGCTGAGGAAGATAATTCAACCTGAGGCAGATGAAGTACCAGAAGTATAGTGAGGATTTCACAATGAGTGCTCTTCGTTTATTATTAGGATTATTAAATCTAAGAAAATAAGATACCTGCAGCATGTAGTACACAGGAGAAAGAAGGGAAATACAAACAAAATTTGAGTCATAAATTCTGAAAGGGAGAGATAACATGAGAGAGTTATGAGTAGTTGTGAGGATGCTATTAATGTGAATCTTATGAGAAACAAGGTGTGGGCTTGCAGACTGAGTTTTTGTGACTCAGGATAGCGTCTAGTGGCAAGCTCTTGTGAGCAGAGTATAAACAGGGTTCCATGAAAGGCAGGGAAGTTCTTGACTAGGTCAGGAGCTATCCCTTCTTCGGAAAGGATTTTGCATAGAATTTCAAGTTCCCATGTGAACATAACAAATCTTTTGGCCCTAAATGTGATTTGTGTTTTCAATCCTAGGGAGAATCTGGTTTACCTGGATTGAAAGGTGAACGTGGTGAAGAAGGTCAGTCTGGACTTCCTGGTGTTCCAGGACCACCTGGTCCACGTGGGTCTCCAGGTGAAAGTGCTGGTGTAGGTGTGAGTGTGCCAGGTCCACCTGGACAACCAGGACCTGTTGGACCACCAGTAAGAATGTGCAATCCATGGTTACAAGATTGAGTCTGTTGCATAAACATCTCACCCTCTTTCTGCTGGTATTAGTTTGTTTTGCAGAATTTGAACCTAATGCAGTATTTAATCTGCATATGTTTCTCCCTGTGACATTTTTATTTCTGTTTACTTATTTTTATTACTTGAAGCAAACAATTAAGTGTGTTGCACTGTGTGTTTTTGTCTGAAGAATCCTGTTACACAGCAACGTGGAACTGCTATGTTATAATAAAAAGGAGTTATCCCGTCTGTTTTATGTCAAGTCATAACAAAGTAATAGGCCATTTTATGTTAATCTGAAATACATGGGTTTTATGCTGTATGAGTTGTAATTTAACTGGGGTGCTAGAACGCAGGACCAGGGAATCGAAATCTGTCACCCTGAAATGTAATTTGTAGCAGACATAATAAAATATAAGTAATAACAAGTGTCTAACATTTTAGGGCTTACCAGGAGTTCCCGGACCAGAAGGACCTCCAGGCCGGAGAGGAGTGGCTGGGGAGTCTGGTCCCACAGGGTTACCAGGTCGAGATGGCAGTACTGGAGAGAGAGGATTCAAAGGAGAGAAAGGGGACCCTGGACTTCCAGGAAGTAGGGGCCTGCCAGGTCTTTCAGTAAGTTTCTGGTATTTGTGGAGTTCAGTGTTCAGGATTAAGACACCTGTAGACTTTTGGATGGTTATCATAGTGCCTTAATCTTCAGGGTAAAAGTTTCTCCATAACATTGGTAACCACCTGTCAGTATATACAGTGTCATAGCCTGGGAGACCATAATATACTTCTCGCTGCCATAGTTGTTAAAATTCTACTTTCAGATTGCTAGTGTGAATTAATTAAATGCTGAGATGTGTGTAATCTTCCAAGATATTGTAAAGAGATGTCAGTCATTACTAGTTAAGTCCTGTATTGTCTGATGTTCAAAATAAGCACTATCAGCATGTGTCAGGTTTGAGCCTGTCATGGCAGTGACTAGTCTGTTGAATTCTGGTGATATGTAGTCTGATGTAAGTTTTCCAGTGTTTTTTGAAGGAATCATTAAAGANGTCTGATGTAAGTTTTCCATTGTTATTTTGAAGGAATCTGCTGACTCAGTCTTCAGTGTTGAAAAGTAACTAAAGCAAGCAACAAATGGACAGTTGCATGCTTCCTTTGAATGCTCTTTGACTCAGAAGATTGAGGAAACATGTGCCTCTGAAATGTTGGTAAGCTTCTACATTACTAAATGGCATGACTTCTCAAGATAGTATTCTTCATTATCAACACAATTATGCTAAGGACTAAACTTCCAAAAGTATCATAATTAAAGATACCAAACAAAATAGATATAAATTAAAATTAATTGAGATGATTTATAGAAGTTCTGGAAAGAATATGTGCTTCTATGTCTATGAAGATTCTGTCAGAATTGTATGAACACCTTCACTCCCCCTTTAGTCCTGGTATAAGAATTGAGGGGCCTCAACAAACAATATAACATTTAATGCTTTCAGGGTTCACCAGGTCCTCCAGGTGTTCCTGGTGCTCAAGTGGAAGGTGAGGCTGGTCCAGGGCCTGCTGGACCACCTGGACCTCCAGGAGAAGCTGGAATAATCGGTACTCCAGGACCAAAGGGGAGTAAAGGGTCACAAGGTGACCAAGGAGAGAGTGGTATCAAGGGAGATAAAGGTAGATTTGCTCATCTGCTGGTCTCAGCAAGCAGGCTTGCATTGTGCTAATGCCCTTGATGTATACTGAAATCACAGGTGTCCCATTCAAAATATTTACCTACTCTCCACTCAAAATCATCTTCACCCATTATTCACAGCTGTGTAACCTCTGCAGTTCAGACAGTATACAGAGAAACCAAATTTAAGGATTCTATGGGGAGCAGTGGATTTGAACATCAAACTGAGGAAGATATTCTTGACTTAAAACTGTCTCCAGGGATGTGAGTCTACTTGAAAAGCTGCCAGTCACTCAGCTTCTCAAGAAATTCCCAACATTTAATGGAACATGAAAGTTCATTATCACATTCATGAGAGCCCTCGACTTGCCCCTCCCTGAGCCACATGAATTCAGTCCATATGACACAATCCTCTTTCTCTAAAATCCATTTTAATATTATCCTACCACCTATGTCCAGGTCTTCCTAGAAGTCTCTGTCCTTCTGGTTTTCCCAGTAAAATCCTGTATGCATTCCTCTTCTCCTCCATGCATGCTACCTTCCGTGAAATTCCCACCCTCCTTGACTTGTTCATTTTAATTACTTTTAGTGAAAAGTATAAGTTGTGGGGCTCCTCATTATGCATTTTCCTTCAACCTCCTACTATTACATCCATCGTCAACCCAAATATTCTCCTCACCACCCTGTTCTCAAACACCCTCAGTCTATGTACCCCCTTATCATCAGAGACCAAATTTCACACCCATACAAGACTACAAGCAAAATTATATAGTTTTGTGTATTCTAATTTTTATGTTTTTAGACATCAGATGTTAAGGCGAAAGGTTCTGCATTGATTGGTAATAAGCATTGCCTTATTTGATCTACTCTTAATTAATCAAATTTTGATTTGTTGCTCTTATTTCCAAATATTTGTACTTTAGCACGTTTTCAAACAATCCGTTAACTATCTTCATGTTACGAATTTGCCGTTGCATGAAAGAAATCTGATCAGTAATTGTTACATCAAAACCCATTCTGATGATCCCCAATAATTTAATCTATATATGGACTTAACCTTGAGAGAAGATTATTGGATAAAATTTTGTATAAAGTTGATAACAGTGATATACCTTGATAATTACTGCAGTCAGTTTCATTACCTTTTTGTAAATTGGTGCAATAATAGACTCCTTCCACTGATCAGGCACTTCTTCCTTATTCCAAATAGAATTGTGGAAATCTCCCACAGTGCAAAACAGACAACTCACACGGTGTAGCAGGAGCAGGTGTATATACACTACGGCTTGCACCCTAGCTGTCTGCACACCCACATGAGCGCTACCCATTCAGCGCTCACTGCAGAAGCTCCAGTGCCCATTGGTTAGCACACTGCTTAGTGGAAAAAGTATAGAGCTGTGGCCTCCGACATGTTAGCATCAGTCACAGCTGCACTTGCATCAGGCAAACACTGGGGCAGCTACTCCACTAGCAGCAGCACTACAGTCAACTCTACCAGCTCTCAGCTGGCTGCTAGCCAGCCAGTCTTGGCACTACTGCAAGATACTTGCACAACATCTTACCAGCTCATACTCATTGGGCTGCAATTAGAGCATCACCCAGCATCTAGCAGGCACAATCGGGTTCAAAAAAAAAGGCCCTTTTAAGGGACACACATTCACCGCCATCACTAGCTCAGGCTATCCCACTATAAAGAAGAACACTGGGTTGCTGCAGAGAAGAACACAGTCACTAGCTCCGACTAGCCTGTTTTTCATAGCTGTCTCTCTGTGCCTTCAAGCATCAACATCCCACAGAATTAATGGCTTTATGGATCTCAGAATGTATAATTTCACCTTCTGCTTAAATCATTTGTCCCAAAATTTGATAACTTCCTGGCTGGTAAGTTCTAAAGGGTTCTGATGACTGTGCATAACAGTCAGAATTACTGTGTTTTCAGACTTTGTCCATCATCTGGCATTCTAAAAACTAGAGAGCACAATGTTTTAGAAACTGGATCTGTATCCTTGCTCAGGTGAGGGTGAAGACACCTACTCTGTTGGGTCCCTTGTCCAGTGATTGAGGTTAGCCCTTTCTAAGGGACCCAAAAGAGTAGGTGCCTTCTCCCTCACCTGAGGACAGAAACAGGTTCAATTTCCAAAACATTGTATTTTCTAGTTTTTAGAATGCCACAAGATGGACAAAGTTTGAAAACCCTGTAATTCTGAGGACTACCTGGCTCTTTGTACCTTTCAACTTTGCAGTAACATTTTCAGTCTCAAAACAAATAGGCTCGGATACTAATAGCTCAGCTGAATGTATTTTTGTCTGCCTAACATCTCTGACTGACTATATGTACACTCAGTAGCAGAGAGAAATATTTCTCCCATCTGTTATAAATGTTGTTGGAATCTGCAAGCTGATCATCATTCTCATCTTTTAACAAGCTAATTCTAGGTTGGTAACCCTTCTTATATTAATGTATGCCTCTATACAGTTCTCTAAGGTTCTTGTCCTTACTGTGTGTTGCAAGTTCACTAGTTTTGGCCTTCAGATATTCCTTATTTTGTTCATGAAATGTCTTCTATCTTCACATCTTACATAGTTCATGTTATCCCCATTCATTTGGCTCATATCTTATGTCCACTGCAGTTTGACTTGTTTCTTTTAATCTTAATAGTTGTGAACATCTTTCATAGAACCATGACTTATGCTGCTTCAGTTCATCGTAACCTAGACTCCCTTTGGCTGAAAGTTTTGATGCAGACAAAGTTGTGACTGGTGTGACTGATGCTAGCATGTCGGAGGCCCACATCTCTGTATTTTTGTTGCTGGGTGGTGTGTGAACCAATGGGCATTGGAGATGCTGTTGTGAGTGCTGATTCAGTAGTGCTTGTTTCACTGTAGGAGGTTCCCACAATTTGTTGAATGATGAAAAACTTTAAATTAAGAAATATTAAATGCTGAGATACACTTCAATTTAGTAACTATGAATGAAGCCAATAAATATGAAATTGATAAACCTGAAATTTGATTTCTGGGATAATTTTCTGATAATGAACATACAGAACAATCTAAGAAAGCTAAAATAAAGCCACAATTAAATATTCATAACTTCAGTTAAGAAGTAGAGAACAGTAATGTGTTCAGCATGAGAACATAACATGGATGGATGCTGAACACTTCCATAAGCATACTTCAGTATATAGGACAAAAAGAAACACAGAGATAAGAAAACCAAGAAGGGTATATGGAACCTCCTCCTGAAATAATTCTCTGACATTTGCACAGAAAATACAGACTTGATACTGGAGAAGTAATGATGTGTGTGCAAATCCTCTCTAAATACAATTCTGCATTCTGCTTGATGGAACCCTTATGAATATCTCATTAAAACTTGTGTGTTCAAATCACATAGACCCATTAGTTTCAAAGATGCATGCCTGGTTGAAGAATTTTTTTTCGTATATATGTGCATCTCATTTATACACACATATAACATACGGTTCTGTGTANATTTCAAAGATGCATGCCTGGTTGAAGAATTTTTTTTCGTATATACAGGGTGTCCCAGGAGGAATGTGCCAAACTTCGGGAGGGTGTTCCTTATGTTAAAGTATGCCGATATAACCCAAAACACCTATGTCCAAAGTTGAACGGTTACGGAGATAATGGCCCGAGAAGTGTCAAACTTTGACCGGGGTTACACACTTGTTGATTACAAAATACATATTAAAACTGGCAGGAATATGTGGATTCTGTAATGTTAATAATGTACGTAACATCAAACCAACTTGTGAGTGACGGAAAGCCATAAAATTGAAGTACAAAATACTCGCTCGCCATGTCATAATTGTCCTTAGGTTTCCAAGCAGTATACATAACACATGACTGGCGAGCGATGACGTAACGTGCTGACTGCGCGTTCTGGTATGAGCCAACTACATAAGCACGGCTAGGGAGTATCATCGCACTCAAGGACAAACATAGATAAGGGCTCTCAGCTGAGAGGTACAGCGAGGTACAGTGCTTGGACCTGCCAGAAGACCACACTTTTCTTGGGCCATTATCTCCGTAACCGTTCAACTTTGGACATAGGTGTTTTGGGTTATATCGGCATACTTTAACATAAGGAACACCCTCCCGAAGTTTGGCACATTCCTCCTGGGACACCCTGTATGTGCATCTCATTTATACACACATATAACATACGGTTCTGTGTACACATGATATGTACATGAGGAAGTTCTTCATGCTAATGAAATGAAACATTTAATTTTGAGTCATAGGCAGCACTGACCTGCATATCCTGATTCAACAGCTTTTGCCTAGTGTAGTGCAGTAAATAGCTTTCAGATGTCAGTACAACATTGAAAGTGACAGACTACTTTTTAACAAGAAGACATTTTCAACGAATCTTCCCATTAATCTCTCAAGACCCACCACATCAGCTTATTGCCCCTGCACTTTAAATATGAGGGTTGGAACTTTAATAGTGGCAACACTGCTGTAGAGACGCCATACAACGGAACCAATTAATGTCACTTATACAACATGTTAGTTATATACCTACCTTACCTCAGAGCAAATGGACTCTCCCTTCCCACATCACACGCATACACAGTGATGAGAACAGAGCCTTGTGTTAGCTGGTGGTCTGATGTAATGTTGTCATGATGTTTTCCAAACATGAACAACGGAGTTGGATAAAGATTGAATGTGCCAGAGGCAGTATAGCACGACAGTGTCATCAAGGTCTTCAGGAGGCTTGTGGGGAATCTGCATTGTCTTACAGAACAGTGGCAAAGTGGATAAAAGCCTTCAACAAGGGATGCCAAAATGTGGCAGACATGCGTCTGCCAGGTCGTCCTAGTGTCGGTGAAGAAGAAGTATATGCTCTTTCTGTGTTACTGGAGAGTGATCGATGCCATATGATTCATGAGCTGGCCCAAGAGACAGGATTAGCGCATACAACTGTGCTTCACATTCTGAGGGAATGCCTGGGCATGAGAAAAATTGCAGCACGATGGGTTCCGCATGATATGATGGAAATGTAGAAATGGCTACGATACGACACTGTTCGTAATGGCTTGGAGTGCTATGAGCGCGAAGGAGAGGCTTTCTTACACCGTATCATTATGCTGGATGAGACATGGGCCAAATCGTATGAGCCACAAATGAAACGCCAAACGAACGAATGGCGTCATTATGGGTCACCACGAAAATCGAAAGTAGACAGAACCCCAGCAGTGTGAAAGTTATGGTGATTCTCGTGTACAACTGTGATGGTGTTATCTTAATGGATACCATTCCCTGACAGCAGACTGTCAGTGCACAGTATTACTGTTCACTTTTGGAACACAACCTGCAACCAGCTTTGAGACAGCGGAGGGAGAAATTTTTGACTAGCTGAGCAACTGTTAGCTTCTTGAGAAGAGCTCTGCTCCATGCCGTTAGTTGAAAGTAGTTAATGTTCTCATGCAAGCTAGATCTTCCACGAGATGGAGGGCCACCACTTTGCTTGCAGCAGGAGTGCTTCAGTGAGAGAAAATCTCAAGTCTCACAGTGCTTCATTCCTTGTTTGTCTTGAAGTTCTACACTTGTTTGGAAGACTTTTAAAAATGTTTTGAGGCATTACAAATGTAATGACTTGAAATTATTTCATGGACAGAAATAGCATATAGCTTAAAGTTAGCCAATAAAGTTACATAATTCCAAAAACAGAGAGACCATGTATGCAACCAGAAGACGAGGAAAAAGACGTAAGAAAATGCTGGATGACCTTGGGGACAGAAGAGGATATTTTTATTTGAAGGAGAAAGCTCTAGATCGCATTAAGTGGAGGAACTGTTTTGGAAGAGTGTGGACCTGTCATATGACAGATTACTGATGAAAAAAATTCATTCTGAAAATCTACTCATTTTCATAAAAACTTGTTTACTGAAAGTTATGTATTCATTATGCCTGTCTAGGTGACCGTGGTTTAACAGGGCTGCCTGGAATAGATGGTGAAAGAGGTCCGCCAGGACGAGATGGTTCACCTGGACCTCCTGGCCAGAAGGGAGAGCAGGGATTTCCAGGTCCCATTGGACTTCAAGGGCAATCTGGGCTTGTTGGATTGCCAGTAAGTTGTGTCATGTAACAGACAATGTAATTTGTCTTGCACAATGAGATAGCATACCTGTTCTTGTGTTACTGATTCAGTCGTGGGAGTGCCTTGATTCATGCAACTCTCATAATATAATATGCTAGCTATCAGCTCACTGTTAAGGATAAAGGAGGAAATAGGTAATCTCCAGTTCAGGGCCAGTAAAGTTGACAATGTAATTTCAGAAATGTCACAAGTGAGACTGGTGAATCAAATGGTGATCCTAAATATGAAAGATGCCAATCTGAAAATCAGTGATATTTTAATACAGTAAACAGTGAAGAAGATATGCTAAAGCTAGACACCCAAATAAACTTGCTGCTGATAATAATCATCACTACCAAAAAACATAAACTTAGGTCCACAGTTTGCAGAATTTCTGAAACTCTGATCAGTCTTATCTCAATTTATATGGTATAATGTAATGGAGAATTTCACCATGATGTAATACATATTTCAAAGAACTTAATCAGAGTTAGGTGAAGGAACACATGATAAAACTGGCAGTCTCTCTTGGTTGGAAGTTGCAGAATTGCCTGATGTGGTGAATGATAAATTTTCAATATCAGCTGCATGATGGAAAAACCATGTCCAGTCATTTCAGCAATAAGGTGGTGTCTGATACAAAGCAATTATTGTGTATTTGTGTTGTTAACTTGCTGACTCAAATTTACAATTTTTTTGCCATTATACTGATTGACTAATAAGCACACTTTTCCAAGTGTTCCATTAAGCTGATTTCTCATTAGCTGTTCACATTTTGGATCTGTATTCGAGACTGCAATGATTTCTTGCCCTAAGTCACAACCAGGTCACATACACAGAACTACTGTACATAAGCATTTGTTATATCGTTTTAAAATTTGTAACTACTTAAAATCGTCAAGACCAAATTTTAAGAAAGTTCAAACTAAATCAAGCAAAATCCCTGTTTTCCCCAACATATCATGTTACATTATGTGGGGCACTTTCTTGAAACATGTAGCGCATGAAACAATCATACTCCCCCCCCTCCCCCAAGCAGATGCCCTTCCATGCCCTTTCCAATTCATCATTCACAGTCATCCTGCCATTGTAGAACCTAATTTGCTGACAAATGATGAAACATCAGCAGGCTGATGATATTTGTTAACAGGGTCCAGCTGGATCTCCTGGAAGTCCTGGAGGTCCTGGCCAGAAGGGAGAGCCAGGAGCTTCAGGACAGCCTGGACTGCCTGGAACTGCAGCTGCTGCTGGGGACCCTGGACCTATTGGAGCCCCTGGACCTCCTGGCCCTCAAGGTGAAGATGGAGACAAGGGTGCCAAGGGTGATCGTGGTGGACCAGGGCTCCCTGGCCTGCCTGGTGCAACTGGACCTCCAGGCAGAGAAGGTTTACAGGGCGAAGAGGGAGAACAGGTACTTTAGAAGTGTTTCAGAGCAGCATGTTTCAGATTGGTGTGTTATTAGTAGAGAAAGTGAAGAAACACTAGGGTTCTAATTTTCACACTTTAAATACTCATTTTCCATGTAAAGACCCAACTGTGATGAATTTACATGAGCATACTTTTACAGAATATTCTTAGATCTATTTGTCTCAGTTTGGTCCTGGTCTGTATAATTTACAAACCTTCCAACAGAGATGCTGCTCTCTATAGACAGAAGTATAAGGTGAAACAGGCTTTTTTATGAACATACACAAACTGCAGGTCTATGAACAACCCAGACTGGCTGTAATTTATGTTAATGAACACACTGAAACCTTTGTCCCACAGAATGAGAGATGACACACATTAGAAGTATACAGATTTTTTTCATGTTAAAATTTAAAATCATGCAAAAAATGTAAAAAGAACAAGCAACTTTCTTTGGAGGTAAACTTTGTTATACAAATATTGCATCTGCACTCCTAAGTCTGTATATACATAATGAAGGCTAACAAAATCAGGGGTTCCCAACATGGTGGTCCACAAATTTCCTGTGCTTGTGAATCGGTTCATAATACAGCATATTTTCAGTGTGTGTCCAGTTTCATTTTGGTGATGGATTGAAGGAGCATGGTAGCTTCCCTTCAGCATTTGTCACCTACTGTCACTTAACTCACCAGCTGTGACTAGCTTGCTTGCAAGAACACAGTGTGTCAGTATGTGGAATATGGGCTCTATACAAAACTATCTTGATGGTACTGTTCTCTTGCTCTATGACATTTATTACACTTGAGGCCATTTTCTACACCAATTGTACTACTTTCTCCAAAAATAAATTGGCCAAGTAACAAACAATGGACTTAACAATTTCAGTGCCTATTGGGAAGAATCGTGTTTATTCATTGATGGCAGTTTCAAAGTAAGTAAAAAAAAATGTAAAGCTATCTCTGTACCAGGCCGTGAAGGCCCGTGGAGTTATGAGACGTTGAGGGTCCCACATTATCTAGACAATCGGCCCAAAGATGGCGGTAAGGTTGTCAGCCTTATGCGCTGGCCGAACTTTACTTCCCAGGAGAATTATTTAATTAATTCCTGGTACTCATTTCTGTTAGATGCTGAGTCGACCCCAGGGCCATAGTGCAGCTAGAAAGATTAGGTCAATTGAAAAGAATCCAGTGACCTCATTAGGACTTGAACCCATGACCTTCTGGCTTGTAGCATAGTGCCTCAAGCAAGTTTATTAATTTTGTCTTTCAGATGTTCCTTCTTTTGTTCCTGAAATATCCGCTGGCTTCACATCTCTCATTATTCAGATTATCCCCATTTATTTGGTTCATATCCTGCAACCATTGCAATTTGGTTCATGGGACCATGGCTTATGCTGCTTCATTGCAGAGTAACTAGACTCTCTTAGCTTAAATTTGTATGTCCTCTGTAAGAGTTTCACCACATAATCATACAAGTTTTCTGAAGCTGAAAATTTTAGATTTCAACATGATAACTATTTTTTCTCTTTACTTCCCTTTTTTTTTTTTTTTATAGAGGGAATCGCTCCATGACAAATTTTTGCAATGTTAATTTGCTTACTACCAGTCTCTCCCAAATATCTGCAACCACCAAATAGCGGTCAGTATCACAATCTCTCCTGAACGATTGGACATCATGTACACTTGAATGCCATCTCCTCTCTGTCAAAATATGAGCAATATGATTATCTTTCTGTCAGATGTCTAAGTAAATTTATGAATGTTATGATGTGGGAAAATCGTACTTTTGGCAGTCAGATTTTTGGATGTGGCAAAGTTTACTTCTCTAACTCCATTATCTTTACTAACTTCATGTAAACTCTCATTCCCAATCGTTTGTTTGAAACTATCTTGTCAACCTACTTTGACATTGAAATCTCCCAACAAAATTTTCATATGTATTTAGGGAATTTTTTGAATAAGTGTTCTAGTGCCTCATAGAAGCTGTTTTTCATAACATCAATTTTATTTTCAGTGTTAAAGTACTTCTGTTTGGACATGATCTGAATTTAGTTAATAAAATAATTAACTCTATTTGTGTTGTGCCTGTTCAACACCGACATTTTAAAGCTCTTCTCCAAGTTGTTGAAGGCACATAATTGGCTCTCATCTTGCATACAGAAGCAGTATTATGATGGCTGAGCAAATGTAAAGGTATTGTATGGTTTTAAGCCTGATTTCTGAGGTCAAAGATTTTCTGAAGTCCAGAATGAGGACTTAAGGCAACTAAGTGGCTCTTGCTGGTTCATGTACTTGACTTTCCTTACTAAAGTTACCAATAAATTGAACATTTTAAATATTCCAGGTTAAGAGAAAAGACAAATATGAGCCTCAAATGAGAACCTAAGTAAGATCATTCGAAGTAAAACTATTCTTGTGGATGTCACATATAAGGAAGAAATCTCTTGTACACTTCCCAGGTAAGAAAGAAAATGGTAGATGAGAGTGATTTCAGCCCATCACAATTTCTTGGCTACATTAAAGCACTTGTCAAAAAGTTTTAAAGGAGATTCAACAACTGAACATCATTCAGGCAGTATTTTTTTTAAATGTAAATCATTTATCTTGCAAGCAGAAGTTACAGAAACTGCTGCATTCTCTGGGGAAACTAATTCAGGCAAGGGCAGAAGAAGTGATACTGGAAATTATGGACCTTCAAAGTGTTGTCCTGAAATTCTGTGTAACACATGAGAACTTTCAGAATCTGGTTGACCAAGAAGTGCAGTTTGCAAGATAAAATCTTATTTTGATTCCATTTACCTGTGCAGATCATTGCTTTCAGCCAACAATGTTATGAAACAAAAGAACAATTCTCGATCTACTGATGCACATGTTGATGACTGTTCTTGAGCAGGAATTTCATCCCATTCTTCCAGGCTTGAAAAACTTGCTGCTGAAAAGAAATGTGTAAGATCACACTGACTAACTCTCCATGTGAGTGTGGATGCCAGACAGAATCATGGACTGACTCTTCAGAGAATTTAATTATACTTTTTAAATGTAAAACCGTGAATTTTTTACTTTGTTGTTTCTTGTAGCATTAACTATATTGTTTTGTGTATTAAGTGGTGTCTCTATATAGGGTGTCCTGATGAAAGGTATCCAAAATAAAAATGTATACCTTGGAAACTAATTAGCATACACATATCCAGTTTATGTCATCGAAAAGGAAAACTCTGAAAGTTTTTTATACCCGGCTTACAAGCATATGCCACCACATTTTTGCCTCCTTGTTAGGAATCACCCATGATGGAATCCTCTATGATGGATAGAGAGATGGCTGGGAAATGAATTGGCAGAGGTCGACCTATCGCTTGGCCTCCTAGGTTGCCAGATTTAACCCCGGTGGATTTGTTCATGTGAGGTTATGTGAAGAACATTGCCTACCAGGTTAAGATCAATGACCTTCAACAACTGAAAGCCCGCATAAGGGACACTGTGGATATGGTAACACCAAACATGATAATTATTTATTTATTTCATCCATAGCTGTAGAGAGTTACAATTGGACATGTCAAATAATAACAACTTCGCATGAAAAATAACATAACATAACATAACATGCTTCAAGTATGGACATTTGTCGTGCCACCAAGGGAGCCCACATTTAAATTTATTAAGAAAGGAAAATGGGTAATGTTAAATAATTTGGTGCCCACCCCTCAACCCCAAACTCTAAGGCATGCTCTTGGTCAGAGGAAGGTTGGGAACAGTTGGGATCCCCTGAATTAAAGGGTTATAAAAGGTCTTTTTACCACCAGCAGTCTGAAACCTCTATGGAAACTATTACTACCTTCATAGTTTCCATATACAAGTTTAGGTTAGCGTGTATTATTATTGTAATAGTTTCAAATGGCTCTTCATTTCAGGGACCTCCAGGTCCAAAGGGTGAGCCTGGCCCACGAGGACCAGAAGGACCAGAGGTAAGACTCAATATTTTTTCAAGTCTCAGCAGATAAATTTTAAGCAACATCTCCTTCATTAACTCTTATAATGCCATTATTAATTAAATAAATGGTAAATGTAACCATGGGACAGAGCTACCGTTGCTCTTTACAAGTATTTCTCACGGCAGAAATGGAAAGTTATGTCAGCATTGATGGGAAATGAAAATTTGTCATAAGAGTTACACTAACTCTTTCACATTGTCACATGTTAGTAATTAGACATGGGGTTTCAATCAGTAATTGAATTTACTGAACAATTATAACTCACAGCCACAGGTAGTTAGTTAGTTAGTTAGTTAGTTAGTTAGTTAGTTATTTAGAGAGATTGGGTTTCCCCATGCACCGCCTCCAGTTTGTT